ATCATCACTTTTTCGATCAGCATGGGGGGGGCCCCCCAACCCCCCCCCCGCGCCTTTAATTGAATCAGCAAATGTTCAATCATCATTGGGGGGGGGGGCCACGCCCCCGCTATCTTTTTCGAGTTTTTTGCCCTTATAATATCACTTGTACGATTAAGATAGGGTGGGGCTGCCGCCACCCCAACCCCCCACCCCTCACCGAAGCAACCCGCTGCGGCGCACCCACCCCCCTACCCCCCCCTGCGTTTTCATATCTATTTTTTTTTGGGGGCGGCCCTGTTTCAATCATAGCTTTTTTGGATCACCGCCCCCCCCCCCCCCGCCCCGCTACTTTTTTTTTGTGCCTGAATTGAACCATCATATTTTCCTCCTCCTGCTACTTTTTAACAGCTTTTTGGCCCCTATTTGAATCATCACTTTAACAATCATCATGATGGTTTTTGGCCCTAATTGAGTCATCCCTTTCTTGATCATCATGGGGGGCTGCCCCCAACCCGCCAACCCCCCCCGCTACTTTGCACTTCGATCATCATGGCGCTGCGGCCCTCTTCCCCCCAACCCCCCTCCCTGCTACTTTTTAGACTTTTCTTTGGAGGGGTATTTATTTTATGATTTTTCACTCTTGGCTTTTTGGCTTCTCCTTCTTGGCTTCTTGGCTTTTCGGCTTCTTGGCTTCTCGGCTTCTTGGTTTCTTGGCTTCTTGGCTTCTCGGCTTCTGGGCTTCTGGGCTTCTTGGCTTTTTGGTTTCTTGGCTTCTTGGCTTCTTGGCTTCTTGGCTTCTTGGCTTCTTGGCTTCTTGGCTTTTCGGTTCTCGGCTTCTGGGCTTCTAGGCTTTTTGGTTTTTTGCTGGTTTATGCGGCTTTTGGTGGCTTTTGGGCTTTTCGCATCATCTGCATTCCCAATTCCTCTTCGCCAGGTAGCGTTTTTGCCTTTTTGCATCTTTTCGCTGGTTTGCGCGGCTTCGGCTTTGGCTTTTCGCATCTTCGGGCTTTTTGGCTATTGGTTTTTGGATTTGGCTTTCCGCATCATCAGCATCACCACCACCCTATTTGAATCATCACTTCTTCGAGCGTCATGGGGGGGGAACCCCGCTACTGTTTAGATTGTTTGCAGAGTAATTGCACCCCTATTTGAATCAACTCTTCTTCAAACATCATGGGGGGGGGTTGCCGCCTCCCCCCCCCTTACTTTTTAGATTTCTTGTAGAGATTGAATCACCCCTGTTTGAACCATCACTTTTTCGAGCGTCCAATTTCGCGAGAACATGCTGCAAAATACGACACTTTAGGTAATCTGTGTAGTCCATGTATGTCCGTATGTATGCAGTTCTTCGAACATCATAGGGGAAGCTTCTATCACACCCTTTCTTGAATCATTGCACCCTACTTGAATCATCACTCCTTCCGACATCATTGGGGGGGGTTGCCGCCCCCCCAACCCCCCCGCTGTGTTAAAAATTGTTACAGAGATTTAATATTTAATTAGTTGCACCCCTAGTTGAATCAATTCTTCCAACATCATGGGGGGGGGCTGCCGCCCCCCCCCCAACCCCCCCGCTACTTTTTAGACTTTTTGCAGACATTGAATTGCACCGCTATTCAAATCATCACTTCTTTTTTGCATCATGGGGGGGGCTGCCGCCCCCCGCCCCAACCACCCCGCTACTTTTAATTTTATTTTTTTAATAGGGATTGAAATGCCCTCCTACTTGAATCATCATTTCTTTGACCCCGTCACACGATTTGTTGGTGATGTTAGGGATGTTGGTCGGACATGCGGGGGATGTTGAACACGATGCTAGGGATGTTGACGGGCTAGCGTAAAATGCGTCAATTTCGCGAGAAAATGCTGTAAAATACGACACTTTACTGGCCCGGCAGAGATTGAATTGCACCCCTGTTTGAATCATCACTTTTTCGAGTACCAATTTCGCGAGAAAATATTGCAAAATACGACATTTTGGGTAATCTGTGTAGTCCATGTCTGTCTGTATGTATGCATTTCTTCGAACAACCCTCCCGCTGCCTTTTAAATTCTATCACACCCTTTCTTGAATCATTGCACCCCTACTTGAATCACCACTTCTTCCGACATCATGGGGCGGCAGCCCCAAACCCCCCGCTACGTTTTAGATTTTCTACAGAGATTAAATGAATTGCGCCCCTAGTTGAATCATCAATTCTTCGAACATCATGGGGGGGGCTGCCCCCCCCCCAACCCCCCCCCTTACTTTATATATTATTATTTTTTGCAGAGACCGAATTACACCCCTATTGTAATCATCAGACCATCATGGGGGGGGGGGCTGCCACCCCCCCCGCTCTGTTTTATTATTTTTTCTGGCTGGGATTGAGATGCCCTCTTGTTTGAAGCATTATTTTTTTTCACCCCGTTAACCCGCCAGCTACATTTTTGGATTTGGTTTCCCACGATTTGTTGGTGATGCTAGGGATGTTGGTCGGACAGGGGGATGTTGAAAACGATGCTGGGGATGTTGACGAGCTAGTGTAAAATGCGTCAATTTCGCGAGAAAATGCTGTAACATACGACATTTTATTTGCCCGGACGAAAAACCAAAAAAACGAAGAAACGAAGAAAGAACCCAAAATAAATCCGCACCCCTTTTCTGTTTGCCCCTAATTGAAACATCACTTTTTCGATCCTCGTCGGCATTTTTCGATCATCGTGGGCGGGGGGGGCGCTGCAGGCCCCCCCCCACCCCCCCCCGCCCCGCGCGCGGGGGGGCTGCCGCCCCCCACAACCTCCCCGCGGCTTTTTAGAATTTTTGCCCTTAATTGAATCATCACTTTTTTCGATCACCGTGGGGGGGTCTGCCGCCCCCTCAACCCCCCTCCCCGCGCCTTTAATTGAAGCATCATTTTTTCAATCATCATGCGAGAGCCATTTTTTACATTCTTTGCCCCTAACTTTTCGATCCACTTTTCAATCATCATGGGGGGGGGCTGCCACCCAACCCAACCCTGTCCCCCCCCCCCCGCTATTTTTTAGTTTTTTTTGGCCTTGAAACTCTGCACAAGTAGCATAAGTATTCCGATGTACTCAGGCGAAGGAGACTGAAGCAAAGGTAAACATCTACGTGTTTCAAGTCTCAATTTCGCTAGGATTACACACGGCGATATACATACACGGTGCATACACATGCAGTCCGGTCCTGGGCTCTCTCCGGTCCGTCCGGCCGTCTTGTTTCGGTCCGTCCGCGCAGCCGCACGCTGGGACGCGCAGCGTGTCCCGCTTCGCGGTGCGTCTGGCTCTGGTCTCCCGTCCGGTCTGGCCGGTCCGTCCGGCCTGTCCGGCTGGTTCGTCCACGCGCGGTCCGCCGTCCAGTCCGCGGTCCGTCCGGTCCGGTCCGTCGGTCCGTTCGGTCCGTCCGGTCCGTCCGGTCCTTCCGGTCCGGTCCGTCCAGTCCGTCCGATCCGCGGTCCGTCCAGTCCGTCGGTCCGCGGTCCGTCCAGTCCGCGGTCCGTCCGGTCCGTCCGGTCTGTCCGGTCCGTCCGGTCCGTCCGGTCCGTCCGGCCCGTCCGGTCCGTCCAGTCCGCGGTCCGTCCGGTCCGGTCCGTCGGTCCGGTCCGTGCGGTCCGTCCGGTCCGTCCGCGGTCCGCGGTCCGTCCGGTCCGTCCGGTCCGTCCGGTCCGTCCGGTCCGTCCGGTCCGTCCGGTCCGTCCGGTCCTTCCGGTCCGTCCGGTCCGCGGTCCGCGGTCCGTCCGGTCCGTCCGGTCCGTCCGGTCCGGTCCGTCGGTCCGCGGTCTGTCCGGTCCGTTGTCCGTGCCGTCCGGTCCGTCCGGTCCGCGGTCCCGTCCGCGCGCTCCGTCCAGTCCGGTCCGGTGAATCCCGGTCCGCGGTCCGTCCAGTCCGCGGTCCGTCCGGTCGGTCCGCCCAGTCCGGTCCGTCCAGTCCGCGGTCCGTCCAGTCCGTCCAGTCCGCCCAGCTCATGCGGCTCATCCACTCCATCCGTCCAGTCCGTCCGGTCCGTCGTATCTTTTTATTTCTCATGTTTGTTTTGTATTTTCTTGCTGGATCTGCCTATATCCTTAATGCCTTTTCATGGTGCCGGCTGGTCCTCGGTTTTATTTCCCGTGAAGCGGTTTTATTTCCTTACTATGGTTACCCCCAATTCCCCCACTTCAGATGCCTAGCATCAAAGCCTGCCCTCCCCTAGGAGGAGAGAGAGAGAGAGAGAGAGAGAAAGAGCGAGACCTTCGTTGGAGCGATCAACGGGCGTCGGCGGATTTGTGTTCCGCAGCATGCCTGATTTGGGAGGATGTTGTCAAACGCAAAATCATCACCCTGTAGCGATACTCATTCCCTCGCATGAGTGGCCATGAACCCTAGGTACCGTTTCGAGTTCCCGGGGGAAGAGGCCTGCGAGGTCTGCGGGGTGCGCTATGCTATGCAGGGGGAGGACAACCCGCACTGGCACGACAGGGCCTCGCATTTGAACGGGAAGATGCACCACGGGTGGCTGCAGATTCGGCAGAAGCTGAGGGAGCTGAGAGAGAAGGAGAGGGTCTGGGAGCGAGAGGATTACCAGCAAGAGCAGAAGCGAGAGAAAACGGGCCGAACCAAAAGGCGGTCGACCTCAGCTTCGGCTCACAAGAGATCAAGCCCCGGAAAGACGGGGAAGGACAGAAAGAGACACGCGAAAGTGAAGAAGGCCGCAAGCGACTCAGGAAAAGGCCACGACAGGTCCCGGAGCCGAAAGAAGGAGAGGAAGGAGGATGCATCTCTGAAGCGGAAGAACCCAGAAAAGAAGAAAGAGCGCAAAGTCAAGAAACGCTCTTCGAGCTCAACATAAGCTCCGACTTCGATCGCGTGGCCCGTGCTTTGCGAGCGCTAAAAGGCACGCTTGGCGCGCGTCCGGGGGGATACTCCCGGCACTGGTGGAAATGGCCATGGGGCATAACCTATGGCTCCATTTTGGTGTGGATGAACATTTGCCACCTATGTTGATGTTCAAATCGCATCGGAGTCTCAAATCCCAGGTCACAGTTCCAGGGCCAGAGCAGCGAGAAGGAGGCGGAGGCCACCATGCGCCAGGAACGGAGCCGGCAAGTGCGGGGGGCCTCTCCAGGGAGCTCCCTGGACGTGTCGGCCAGGAGATCCTGCAGCGGGAGCATCAGAAGAATTGGGAGGAACTGCAGAAGGCGCACAGCGCGCACCAAGAGAAGGCCGGGCGAATGGCGTTGAATGACACCATGACCAGTTGTGGGGAGCGGGGAAATCACTTTATGCGAACGTATGGTGGCCGATCCTACAGGATGGCGCATTTCGGGCGTTGGCTCAGCTGGCGTCAGTGGCCTGGTGCATCGCTTGAGAGACTTGCTGGCTGAGAAGGGGCCGTGGCCACGCCCCGGTTTTGACCATGCTGAGGCAAGATGCCATGGCCATGGTTGCAGAGCTGCAGGCGGGCCGTGCCATCACAGTGGCGGGGCTCTAAACAAGAACCGGCTTCAATACATCTCGAGATTGGGTGAGATACAACGTGCGGGTGCCTGGTAGGAGAGCTTCGTGGAGCAAACGAGGAAGTACCAGGAGCCGGGCGCCAGGATTCCGTGCCGGAACATTTTTTTCTTTTTTCAAAAAGACCTTGGCGATGGAACTTGAATTCGGCTGGCGAGGCTGGCGAAGAGCGTCCGCAATCAGCAGCAAGAGCTGAGCAGAGACTGCCAGGAGGCGTGGTGGCCAGCTAGTCTTGTGAAGGACCTGGCCGTTGCGCATTTGGCGTCATGCGACACCGGGGATGAATTCGTTCAGGCCGAGGAACTTGCTCAGCACACTGAGAAGTTCGCCGGCGAGCTGAAGCAGCTCCTAGGCCCTGGGGCACGAGACAAGAAAGACCTGTCATTTTGGCATCCAGGCCACACCCGCGAAGCGAACTCAGCTGGGGAGGATGCCGGCCGATCGCTGGTTCTGCGTCGTTTTTTTTGTTGGGTCCATGGAAGCGACAGCCTCTTAAAATCAGCCTCCAAATGGTGGTTTGAAGGGAAGACTAACATAAAAGCAATCTTGAGAACCATTCAAATGTTTGCTTTAGGGAACGCAGTCGTTTGGGTGGCCAGGATCAATGGAAGCAAGAAGCCCACAGACTGGACGAAGAGCTGCGGAAGCTGACGACGTGGAGCCCTGAAGGCTGCAGGTCTGTGAGACGTTCTCAGAGCTACCAAGGCATCACAGGGAGGCAGCCAAGACGGTGCGGGAGTTGCGACAGGCGGGGCCCGGAGCAACGGTCGGTCGCTTTCAACATTTCCTCGAGTGAAGGGGGTTTCTGGCGAGATTCTCAATTGAACAAACCATTATATTGTTTCTTTTGCGCATGGGAACGCAACCAAGTTAGGGTTCGCTTTTAGGATGGAGGCCGCCCGAGCAAATGAGTTCAAGCCACCAGCAGATGAGGAGTGGTCGTGCAAGCACGTTTTCACATGGGCAAATTCTTGGCAACGAGCTCTCCTGGCGGCCTTTGCCAGGCCGATGACAAGCGCAAAGCCAAGGAATCGCAGCAAGCTGATCAGGACCGATGCGGAGCAAAGCAAAGCATCATCAAACAGACGCAAAGGCGCCTCCTTCGTCGTATTTGATGCCCATTTCTTTAAGCCTGGTACAGCGGGGCCCCGGGACCCTCCTGGTTCCTTGGTTTCACGCTGTTTTTTGAAACCTTCATGGTCAACCACCAGTACACACATTCATAGAAGATGGCCTCCCTTGTGGCGGTTGTCCCCCACGACGGATTGCGAACGAGGATTCCCCACCCCTCCCCAACAAAGCAGCCGCCCGTTCCGTTCAGGAGCTGCAGCGCAGCACAGAGAAGGCCGGCCGCCCTGGAAGAAGATTCGCCAGTAGGGATGACTCGGGGTGTTGGGAATGAACCTTTATCGTTACTCCGGGATATTGAAATTTTGGGCAACGATGATATATTGGTGTGACTCAGGTAACGATGAAGGGGATTCCCTTTATCGTTGCCTAAACCAGCAGGTTTAGTCACTCAGCCAGTCAGGTGAAGTTATGTCATCCAACCAATCGGTTAGTGTTTGGTCCGGAGCAGGCCAAGAAAAAGATGGAGCGCCGCGGCCCTAGCGAGGACATAAATGCGGCCGAGAAATATGGACAATGACTCGCTTCAATTCTATGGGAAGTGGGAAAGGGGATGTACAACTCCACAAGGGTTTTAAACAAAAAGCACAAAGTTCATCCAGGCTCAGTTTTGCGTCCAAATCAGCACGGCACGAGGCGACGGGCTGATGACCAATCCCAACATCATCAGGCAGATGGCCCAGGCGGGGCTGCTGTGTCTCATGGGCACTTTGTCCATGACACGGTTCTGGAGAAGCCACTGATTTGCGCACCAAGAATTTAAAAGCCACAGCCAGGGAGCTTGACAAAGGCAAAGACCCTTGTGTCATTTTGTGCTGCCTGCAACGCCAGTCCCCCAAAGCAAAGAGCCCCGGCTTTGCTCGCAGCACGGAGGCAATGACTGGGATCGAGGTAGAGAAGATCGTGGCACCCTCGGTGCGTGGTAGGGTTTTCATGTGGGGCATGAGGCAGAGGCAGGGCTGGACGCGTGTCGAAATCAAGTACGGATCAAATATATGGGTATGGGTCAAAATCAAACCACCAAGGGACCGCTGGTTTTAGCCTTTGTTTCCATCTTCCAGGGTTCCATTTTGGGCTTCCACTTTTGACCCACACCCACATGTGCTTTATTTTTTTTTCAGGCTTCCCTGCCAAGGGGACTGAACGGGGGCTTGGTTGCTTGGCTCGGCATGAGGACCAAAAAAGTCGGGCAGAGAAGTGCCGAGCTCAGGGAAGTTGAATTGAGAACCTGCACTCCCGCAACTTTCCGCGGCTTGCACAAAATGTTCTGGGCAGGCGGCTGCTGAAGGTCATTTGTGATGTCAAGCCGCGAGGCCCGCCTTCCATTTGCCCATCCCTTTTCCCATCGGCATTTTTCGCGCGCGTCTGGTGGCAGGGCAGGGAGGTGACCTTCAGCTGCGCTGGTCCAAGGCCTTGGAGATGATCTTTTTTCGTCCAAGGCCTTTGCCACTGTGGCGCCGGCACGTGGCAGGCGCCGTACAGGGACTTTTCGGACCGCAGCTCGTGCGACCTCACGAAGGCCACTTGGGTCACCTGGGCGGGCTGCGATCTTGGGAGATGGTCAGGGCATCGGCCGCTCGCTCGCGTGCACAGGTCATGAGCATTGGTTATGGCTTCGCGGCTCGTGTGCTGCCTTCAGACCTTCAGACCACGCGCGCTGGGGCTTGCGGGCGCTAGCGAGGCACCGTGGCTTTTTCGAGATGCACCTCCTCACCTTTGCTTTTCTTTGTGAGAAGCTCAGCAGCTTGCCTGGCTGGGTGGCGGCATAACCTTGACCTCCCAACTGCGCCAGGCACACTCCGTCAAGGTCTTTCGACTTCATTTGCAACTCCGACAGCGATGTGGAGGCAAGGGTCCATGAAGCAAATGAACTGTTCTGACTTAAGGTATCATAAAGATTTCAAGGGCTTAGCCCTCAACACTAGCTACGACGGTCAGAATTCCCCCTCCACACCCATCACAGTCCATCCCCAGCCCGGCACCTCCAACCCAATCACGAACACAGACCAAATCGACACGGCAACACCGCCATCACCAATACATGACCTTGCCATTGTGGCCTTGCAATTTGCACTCAGGCAGTTTCTTTCTCACCTAGGAGCATGAGTTTGACAGAACATAGCACGCCAGCAGAATGCTGGGCATGCGTGCCCAAGCAATCACCGGCAGATTCGGGATGTTGCTCGAAAGGCTTGTAAGTTGTCAGACCCATCCTCGCGGTTCAGATCCAGCATACGCGTACGGCTGCTTCCCACATTTGCAAGAAGGCATGCCCACCTGAGTCGCAATCAAAACCCGGGTAGATGAAGGTTGGTAATTAAGGGACGATCCCAACCACAAATAGCTGCGGCCGCGTTCTTAACTCTTTACATGGTTCTGGGTAGACCATTTGTACCGGGTTTTGATTGTGACTCACCTTGAACTTTAGCAAAATGTGGTGCGGGGGTTCCTCATGTCCTTGTTGTGGCACCTCCACAAGTGGCGGCTTAGTTTCAACCAGTAAAATGCAACTTTAAAAGGGGGAATCCAGATGCAGGCAGTGTTTGAGATCAAGTTGACGGATGGCTCTTTGGGGATAGGTTGCACGAGTTTGCAGAGACCCAGAAGCATCACACCAGCGGAACAAGCAGACACTGGACCAGCACACTATGGGAAGCGATGATGCAAGGATTCAAGGAGTGCTAGGGCGGACAGGTGTTCATGGAACAAGTGAGACAGAGGCAAAGATGCCGGGCCAAGCTCATCTAGATTCCGGAGGGAGACTTGCATTTCTTCAGGAAAACGCTCTACACATGAGCTTGTCGCAAAGGGTATGTGTGAAGGCAGTCAGGGCATCCATCGTGTTGAGCCGTTCATTGCGCACTGACCTCTTTGCCCACCAAGCGTGTTTCGTGAGAGGCGCTGGTGCTGGTCATCAGCAGGCTCTGCACAAGGATTGGCAAAACTGGCCCCGTGAGCCCGAACTCAAGCGCATCCAGCCGGACCCAGGGAGACCCGAATATTCGACGGGCAAGAGGCACAGACAGACAGATTCGCATGCATGGGAGACTTGTGCAAAGGAGCCAGGGTTGGCCTCTGCACGGTGGAGTGAACTCGCATTCCAGGCTGGGCTTGGTCCTGTCTTCGCAGTTTCGCCGTCACTTGTGTCAATGTGCGTTTCTTTTTTTTTGGTTCTCTCCTCTTTTTTGTTTTTAATTATTTTCTTTCTCGGTTTTTTTCTCGTGCTTTGCAGGTTCATGGCCATGAAAGGCTGGACCAAAGTACAGCTTGGAACTCGGGGTTTGGCTCACAGGGCGTGGATTCCGGAATGCAGAACCAAGGGCTGCGTGTCGAGCCAACAAGAGCACCTTCAGCACTCACCTGCTGGAGGCTTGCAGTCCCATGCGATTGCTGCAGCACATATCGGCCTCACCAGCTTTGTTGTACGCAGTTGAAACCGATAAATCTTTGACGTCTTTCTTTGTTTCACCGCCGCTTCACTGGATTTCCCCCTCATTTTGAATCGGGAAGCTAACGGCGAGGTCTGATTTGGGGATGTTTCGCAGCAAGCCCAAAAACCTGAAAAGAGATGCTTGGTTCGACGCAGGCGCACTGTGGTAGGGAGGGGTTTTTGCCGCAGGCAGCCTCGAAGCTACAGCTAGGCGGGGCCCAATGGGTGGGCCTGGGCTTGCCTGTTGTTTCTTAGTTTGCTCTGGTAGCTGCCTTGTGTGAGTCATGGGCGCATCGTGGAACGGTTGCGGTTGCAATACCGTCATGATTCTGTGAAACTCATCATGTCGCCGCTGAGTCGTTCTAGGACATTAGGACGCTGTTTGTGTTTATTTAGCGCATACTCGTTCGTGGCTTTGGTCTCATGTGATGCCGCTGGCATCATTAGGATGCTGTTGGTTCTTAGGTAGTAGCGCACGATTGTTCATGGCCTTGGTATCCTCAGTAATGTTGTCGAAAGTCGAAAACGTAGTGGCGCCGCTGAATTCAGCACTGAGGCACTGTTCGTTCTTAAATGCGGTGTGCAATGGTTCGTGGCTTGGGTTTTGTCAGTGATGTTGTCCAAATCTTACTCATGATGCTGCTGAATTCATTGGGACGCTGTTTAGCTGTTTGTTCTTAATTGTAGCGTGCAATCATTTGTGGCTTTGGTATCATTCCGACGCTGTTTGTTCTCAAATGCATTGGTATCATTATTGACGTTGTCAAGCACGTAATGATGGTTTGGTATTGATAATAGAAATGTTGTCGAAAACGTAATGATGCCGTTGAATCGATGGCGCTGTTTGTTCTTAACCGCAGACCAAAATGGTTCGTGAATGCAGTATCATAGTTCCTTCGCAGAGATTTGAGCCCTTCACTTCATTCATGGTCTCTGCTGTAATTGTTCACGCGCGGGACCCGTGACCCGTGACCCGTGACCCAGGTCCGAGCCAGCGGGGCCCGAGCCTGCCACCGCCGCCAGCAGAAACCGACATCCTGCACACCGATACGCTGATGCAGGCGCTGGAAGATGGAAGATGGAAGATGGAAGATGCCGGGTGCGTTTTTTCTTCTTCTTTTCTCCGTTTTTTTGCGGAAGTCAAAGGAAAGCAGCATGAGACACGTGAGTTCAAGCCCTTCAAGTTGGATGCCATTCGGGAAGACTGTGGGCGCATGTACGTGCAACAGTGCAGGATGTGGAGTCCGCATCTTCTTGATACATCTGAGGCCTTGCAGTGCCTTTGATTCACGTTATTCTGGTGTGTCGCGCCGAGGAGATTTGCACAGCCTAGTGGGCACCGATTCTCCTGCCAATGGCGAATGCCAGTTTTAAATTCAAAATTCACATCCAGTGCTCCTAAGGAGCAGAGTTGCACTGGTCGCCATGCTTTGCTGCCGATGGAGTGCTTGCCCACCAAACTCGCAGCTTTTGTTCGGAGTTTGGATATGCACTGGCTAAAGCAGTTCCTTCGGCCACAGCGCTGGCAATCAGCCCTCGCACACGGTGAGGCCAACTGCAACCATCAAGGTTGATTGCCAACCGCAAACAGCAGGAGCGGCCAGACTGAACGTGGCGAAGGCATGTTGGCAAGTGAATCGCTTTGTTCCTAGTTGCCATGTGTGGTTGGGCTGAGATGCCGCATGGCTTACAGCACTGAAAGGCCAGTAATGTTTGGAGAACATCGCAAAGCAACAGACACACGATGCCCGCAAGGGACTGAAAGCAACCAATACGTTCCGAAGATGGGGCTGCGCATTGGATCCTGACGTTCTTGAGCGAACCCAGGCTAAACGTGTCTTCATGCTTTGCGTGTCTTAATCACATGTCGCTGACGTCGCTGTCATGACCGATGATCGCAATCTGCTGGCCGATGCTACCCTGTATGCGCAGAGGTTCCAGGACCACAAAGTCGTGGAGTCAACTTCGCGAGCATGGACGAGGCTATGTCAGAGGGGCGACGTAGACAGTGCTGCCGATGCTGTTCGGCTGCTTGTGTCTGCGAAGAATGCCCTGAAAGAGGATGCTGTGGAGCTCGCAAGGGCCGGCCTGGAGGCATGCCAGACCGCGCGCGGGCGCGATAGGAGGGCAGAGGCAAAGATGCAGTTGGCCTTCGCGGAAGCGGTGGCCGGGTCGAGTGACAGATCGCTGCTCTCCGAGGGCATCGACCTGGCGAAGAAGGCCTCGGCGGAGTTCGAGGCGGAGGCGAAGATCTGGTTAGCCCAGCTGCACCTGGCCCGAGGAGATCGGGGCCTGGCGGAGAAGGCCGCCCGGGGCGGGCTCCAGGCGGCGCAGAAGGCGGGGACGGTGCTCCAGGGCCGGGCGCTGCTGGCGCTGGCAGCGACCTCTGAGTGGCAGCCGCATGGGGAGCGGGCGCTGGAGCTGGCGGAGCAGGCGGAGGACTTGGTGCTGGAGGTGGAGGTCAGGACGGCCATGGCAAGGCGACCCACCAAGCAAATTGAGTTTTTGTTTTCGCTCGAATTGTTGTGGTTGTATTCAATATGCTAACATGGCTTTGGCGGAGGAAGAAATCTAGACCGTCAGGTGGCTGGCCCAGGCTGGTGCCTTCCCCACGTGCTTGGAGCATGCCAAGGAGGCGCTGGACCTGTTGCAGGAGCACTGCGCCCAGAGCCACCGGCAGATGGAGGTGACTCAACTGGCCTGCTCTGCGCACTTGGCGCTGCAGGGCCAGCCGCAAGCACTCCGCTTGGCCCAGGAGCTGCTGCGACTGACCCAGGTGGAAGGTGGCCAGCTTTCTAACCAAGCAGCAAGCCACCTGGCCAGCGTCCAGATAGCATGTGGTGGTTCTGAGGCGGCTCGCGCAGTGCAAAGTGCCAAAGAGGCTCTGTGCATGAGCCAGAAAAGTGGGGATCCATCAAGCGAAGCGCGTGATTTGAATGTGCTACTACAAGCATATCGCGCTGCTGGTGCTGGAGCTGACGAGAAAGCCGATGAGATCCATGCAGCCTGCCAAGAAGCTTTTCCAGTTCTGCGAGCCCTTTCGGGAGCGCAATCGGGCATTTGCGAAGCTGTCAGGCTACTGGCTGAAGTTGCAAGGGCTTTGGCCGTGCTGCAGCGGCCTTTGGAGATCCTCGAGGCCTCTCTGCACTTGCGTGATGCGGTCCAGGGAGACCCAGCGCTGGAGGCATCGGTCCTTCTGACCATCAGCACGGCGATGCTCCAAGCGGGCCGCCGGGACCAGTGCTGCCAATATGCGCAGGACGCCGCGCGGCTCTTCGAGGAGGCTGGGCAGGCGCGCGACGCGGCGGAGGCCCTGGCGCAGCTGGCGGAGGTTCAGCTGAAGCTCGGGAAGGTGGTGGCTGGCCGCGCCAACGCGCGCCGCGCCCGGCGCCGCTTCGGGGAGATCTGCGCCCACGAGGACGAGATCCGTCTGCGGCTGATGGTGGCGGAGGCGTCCCTGGCCAAAGACGAGAATGGGCGCCGCCAGCCCCGGGACGCGCACCACGAGGCCAGGGACGCCGCCCGCTTGGCCCAGGCGCTGGGAAAGCCGGAGCTGGTGGCCAGAAGCCTGGCGACCTACGTGCGTGTCTGCTATGAGGTGGATCACTACGACGATTGCCGCCAGGCAGCTGAAGAGTTGCTCCGGGACTCCCAAGGCAATCAAGGCAATCGCCTCATGGCGCTGATCCTCGGCCTGTGCTTAGAGCTTTGGTGTTTGGAGAGTCGACCTTCCGACGCGCGCTGTCGTGCTTTGATGCGTTTTAAGTGTGCCTCAGGTATTATGCAGCCAAAGCCCATGAGAAGCTTGGCAACTTTGCCGCTGCGAAGCAGCACGCTGAGCGGGCCGTGGAGCTGGGCCGAAGGGGAGAAGTGGCAGAGAGGGTGGGGCCCTCAAAGCCAAGTCGCTGAAACGCCTGCTTGCCGGAGGGTCGTTTTTGCCATACCCAGGCCATGGTGCAAGAAGCTCAGCAGCTCGTGGAATCCTTGCGGAAGAAGGTGTTGTTCACAGATGCGACCGCCCCGTTGCTGCAGGCTGGGGAGTCTGTCCGATTTGCTCATTGTCGAGCGTTCTGCGCCAGCCGCGGCTTTTTTCCAACAGGGAAAGGAGAGAAGCAAACAACACAAATGACACAGATGCCAATGAGTTCTGCGCACAAAAGGTTGACTTTAGCAATGCTGCACAGAGAATGAGGATGTTTTGGAGCAAACCGTACTTGAGATCCCAGTAAAAGTAAATCTCTCAGGATGCAAACAAACAATTGACGCGAAACACTGTCAGCATCAAAGACCAAAGCCGAGGATGCTTGGGCTGGTCCATCCAAACTATGGAAATCCATATCCAGTAAATGACACGCATCTGTGGGGGTCGAGCGCCGTTCGCCCAATTCGGGCGCCTTGCACTCGCAAACGGCGCGCCAGACAAAATGCAGGCCCCGAAACCTTCAGAACTGTCTTAAGACAGCCCTTGCCATCTTTGCGCTCGATTCTTGGATTTCAGCAGGGCATAAAATGCAATTGTTCAGGACAAGTGGCTGCAGGACGAGAACGTTGCCCGGGTGGACGGCCGTCGCTCCGGCCCTTTCTCCACTGGAGCGTTCCGATGCCCGCAATGCGGACACAAAGAGGCAGCAGCTCAATGCGTTTCCTGCAGTGCGCCTCTACCTTGGGCAGACTGCAAGTTCTGTCCTGATTGCGCTCGGGCTTGCATTGTGCGATTTTGGCCTTCCCAGCAACATGGAACCTAACACGGTACAAGGGAGAACTTGTCACAGCCAGCTTGTGTGGTGCGTTTTCGGGCACTGTCAGCTGAGGTGGTGCCAAACAAGCTTCTGAGAGCAAGGCCACAGCAAATTCCCCGTTGACTCAGAAGTCATCGCAGAATCAAGGTATCTCTGCTGTCAAGGCGCGGGGGTTTCATTCGTTGGCTGTCAGGATTGCGTGTCAAAGCTTTGACGGCGACGCAATGGGACATCTGAGCCCACAGCAAAAACCAACGGTTTTTGCAACTCGAGTGAGACACTGCCGCTGGTTTGTTCTGCTTTTGTGCTGTGGCAGGCTGGATTTCTGACCCGAGCCATGCAGAGGGAAGAGGGCAATCCGCTGAAGAAGCGAATGCAGGAGATCACTGGCCAGCTGTAGCCTGGCGGAAGGGACTGGCGGGCTGGCACCCGTGCAAATCCCGTGGTTTGGCAACCCGTCCTGCTAAGGCTCGGGATGGACAGCCGGGACGTGGAGGCCGACGTGCCTCTCAATGAGATTGGTCTGTCCAGCGGCGCCGCGGTGATACTGCGAGATGAGCTCCAGAAAGACATCAAGGGAATTCGGCTTCCCCCGACGCTTTTCTTTGACCACCCCACAATTCAAAAGGTGGTCGATTACATCTCGGGGAAGTCGAGATAGAGCCCTTTTCGCCCATGCGAACTGCCCTGTCGAAGTCAGATGCTGTGTCGAAACTAGCTGGCCTTTCAGCGCCACGCGCAGAAGGCGGAAGCCCACGTCAATAGAGGGGGACCACATTCCCACTCATCACAGGCATGAGCAGAGCGTGCTTTCCTGAGCCCAGAGGAAGCAAAAGCCATCTTAGCAACCAGATGCGTGCATGCCGGGATATGTGAGTCACAGGGGGTTCTTGCGACTGCTTTGTTAACATTGCAGCAGAGAGTCCATGGCCAAAGCAAGCTGCGACCTGAGATGGCCAACAGCAAAGCAGGGAAGGCAAGCGGCTCCAGACGGCAGCCATTCAAGACAGCAGCCATTCAAGACATCAACCCTAGGACGCCATTGAATACTGTACATGACATACATTTTGTTGCAATGGCCCCATGTTGGGCTCAAGCACCAAAAGCCGCCCATTCAGGGAGAGAGGGCGAGTTCGTTTTTTTTTTGTTTTTGTTTTCTTGATTGCCGAAGCGAGTTGGTGTAGCCCGGCGCACGCACATGCGGCGGCTGTCCCAGTTGGGCTCCTTGAAGCCATTGCTGGGATGGCAGAGCCTTGGGCCTTACGTGGCTTTTCGGGCCTTTGCTGCCATCACTGTCACCCAGGTCACCTCCTTCGTTTTTCCTCCTTTCCCGAATTTCTCTTTTTTTAAGGCCCCCCCCCCCAACCAACAAACAAAAACGAACAAGGGCAGACCTAAATGGAAACATGGACTAAAACCTGCGGTCCCCTGGCGGTTTTGTGACCCATAGCCACGAGGCCGCTGGCGCGGTGCGCCTCCAGCTTCCTGCCGGGGAGGCGCTGGGCGCCCGCCGGGGAGGTGCCCACGGCCCTGGGCTTCGCGGATCTGAGGCGGAAGAGCCGCAGCAAGAAGGCGAGGGCATCCCCTTCTTCTCACCCGCCGCTCTGAATTCTGACCATGTGTGCAACTGACTGACATCCCCACCACCCCACCCCAGCGATCTTGATGATCCTGGGTTTTGAGGCTGTTTTTTTTCCTTTTCTTTTCCCTCCGTAGGAAGCCCGTTTGATTTGTTTTTCCCGCATGAGAACCCATTTGATGCCATGTGATCTTGGTTCTGCCGGTGGATGGCACGAGTTTTCGGAGGTTTTGTCTCGGTCTCCGCGCGCCTCAAACATGCTTCGCGTGAATCCGGGAGGTGATTCGACAGGCGGAGCTGGGGCAGAAGACGCGCCCGAAAGCGGCGCTCCGGCGGAATGAGTGAATGCAATGAGTGAATGAATGAGTTAATGCTTTCGGCGGAGAGGGGAGATAGGGGGAACGGTGCTGGATACCAGAGACCTCGACAAAGACAACTGCCATGTCTGTTTGCCTGTTTGAAGTTCGCTTTCTGAAGGGATGTTCACAAAGTAGTCTTGCGGCTCTGAGGTGGCGCAGGGACCGGGCGCACCGCCCTTGGGCCGGAAGCGCCCGAAGAAGCACAGGCACTCTACTGACCTGGAGGACCTAGGCGGTGCTGAAGAGCCCGTGCCACGGTTTGGGCAGAAGCAGGCAGGACATGCAGTTTGTGGCAGAGACTGTGCCACCCCAGGAGGCTGTGGTTGTGCAAGCTTGCGCGTGCTCCACTGCAGCCTTGCAGGTGAAGAGTCTGCACTCGCGGCCGGTGGCCGTGCTGCCGCGGACGCCGCAGTTCTTCGTGCGCTTCGGGCCCCCGATGAGTGCGGAGGACTTGACGCACGACGCCCCGTCGGTGCTGGTCGAGTCCCGGCGCCTGATTGACGACGTGCTGGAGCGACGCGAGAAGCTGCAGCCTGCACCTGACCACGTGGCACCAGACACGCCCTTCTGGCGCGTTCCTGCCAAGCTGCGGAACAAGAAGCCGCCCAAGTGGCAATCCAAATCGGAGGAGGACCAGTTGCTTTTGCTAAAGCTCCGTTTGACCCCAGTTTTGAGTGAGAGATCCCATGAGAGATCCATGACAGCCCGAGGACGGCGCCGAGGACACCAGGCCCAAAGATACCGCGGAGGCCATGGAGCAGCTCCGGGGCATCGTGAGCCTCCCCCCGAAGCCTGCTGGCCGGGCCGAGCCGCTCTCCCCGGCCAAAGCAACCTCCAAGCTGCTGGCGGCTTCGACTGAAGCGGCGCCGCAGGCTTAGTGCGATGGTAAAAGGACGGGTGAAAAAGGGCTCAACCGCACCGGCCCAGGTCCGACATGCCGAGCGCTTCCTCAAGGGAACCTGCAGAGCAAGATGTCCGCGGAATGCCAGAGCAAAGCCTGATAGCAAGTCTGCGACAGAAGGCAAAGGACTTTGCGCGGACAGGTGTGGACCCAGAAATCGTGGACAGTATGGCTGAGGCTTTGAAGCATCACCCGGGTACCGAGCGTGCAGCTCGAGTCCGCGAGATGCAGGCCTGTGCGAAAGACTTTGAGAGCTTAGTCCGCGAAGGCAAGGCCTCCGTGGCCAACTGCAACCAATTAATACGGGCACAGGCGCTACAAGGCCGAATGGAGGATGCCATGAGTACCCACGACACCATGAAAATCCATGGGTTTGAGCCCGACTCGGAAACCTTTGTGTCACTGCTGAGTGGAGCCGCGCAATTAGGTGATGCGGAGCTAGCAAGGAAGCTGTTCCTGAAGATGAGGGAGCAGTTGATCAGTGCAACACCCAAAGTTTATGCAACTCTCATCCAGGCTCATGTCCGTGCTGGGGACACAGACTCGGGATATTCCTTGTTGAGGAAGATGGAAGATGAGAGAGTGCAGCCGGACGTTGTGGTGCACACAATATTGATCAATGGTCTGGTTGGCGAAGGAATGATTCAGAGGGCGTGGGAGGAGTTTCATTCCATCCGCACCTGGAAGCTAATCCAGCCCGATGAGGTTCTGTTTACGGTGATGATCAAAGCCTGTGCTATCATGTTTGAGGCAGAGCGTGCCCTGAACTTGCTGGATGACCTGCGAACCTGTGGGTTGTACCCAACTGACATAACATATGGTGAGCTCATCCATGCTATGTCGACCACTCCTGATCACGCGCGGAAGGCATTCGACTTCTACCGTCAGATGCAAGCCGAGGACCTGCCTGTCACCAGCTTCGTCTTCGACAAATTACTGCATGCGTGCAAGCAGCTCGGTGATGCAAAGCGGGCCCGGTCCATCGTGCAAGAGATGCATGAGCATGGGGTCGCGCTGGACGCGGACATGTACTGCCACTTGGTTGGCTTATTTGCTCAAGCCATGCGACGGCCACACACCTCTGCGAACGAGAAGCTGCAGCATCTGCGCTACGCTTGGAATATAGTTGCGGAGGCTCGCCAGGCGTGCGCGGACGAGATCGATTGGACTTCCATGCTGAACGAGGTCTTGAGGGTGTATGTGGCAGGGGGGTTTGCGGAGTTTGCCTTGGACATGCTTCCCCAGTATGCGGTCTTTGGCGTTCAGCCAGACGGCGAAACCTGGGAGCTGCTGCTTCGGATGCTGAGTGAGGATCTCAAAGATGTGGGCCGGTTCTTTCTTCTGTGGAGCGCCCTGCTGGCGCTTAGTATTTAATTTGGGCGGTATGAGTCGCAGTTTGGTCTGTCTCGCGCTGGGCCCTTTCTGCGCTGTTTCTCCGAGCAGGAGAGCGTCTGTTCGGTTCTTTTTCTTAAAAGGCCAGCGCTTACTGGAGAGTTCCAGAGTCACTCGAGGCACCATCCCGAAAGAGCCAAAGCTGCCCGACGAGCTCTACCTCCTGGCGCTTGAGATGGCGCTGCGCTCGCGCTCCTCCCAGCAGACTTGCGCCGTGCTGGAGGAAGGGGAAAGTTTCGGCATGTCAGAAGCCGCGGCCAATGTTGGGTCCAGCTGAGTGGCCCTTTTGGTTCCGATTGGTATTCTCAGCTCCGCGGATTAAGTTGACTCGCCTTCCGAAGCGAGTTCCTGAGGCTACGTTTCAAAAGCTATACCCGCTTCAGAGACTATCTCCTCGTTTAGGAGCTGTTATGAGACTCTGTGTTTGTACTGCCTTAAGAACATCCGCCAGCACTAACATGGAGAAGCATGCAAAGTGTATCTCTCTCCAGCGCTTGCCGCCAAAAGAGTGCAGAAAGGATCCTCAGGAGAAGCACGGAGGAAGACAATGCATCCAACAAACCACTGCAGTGGAGCAATCGAGAGGCAAGTCACCCTGGTCCATCACGAGGGGAATGATTCACTTGACACGCGCATAGAGATCCAGCTGGCGACCCATGGGATTTATGCGCAGAGATGCTGGCCTATCCTTCTTGGGGGCGTGACTGGGGGTGCCGGGTGCTGTAGCAGCTCAGGTCAGGGTCGTTTTTGCATGTCTTATACTTGTCTTCATCATTCGCCGTCGACTCTTGTGATGGAGGTCACGGCTCACCGTGCTATATTGTGCGAAAGACACGTCTCTTTTTGTTCGGTGTGCTTAACATGTGGGTGGTTGGATTCTGCTGTGGCGGGTGTTCTCCTGGTAAGCTTCCCCAGCGTAGCAGCCTGCGACAGCATCCAGCAGCAGCATCCTGCCAACACGAGTCGTCACAACACCGCGCCAGAATTGCGTGTCACTTTCCCTTCGGTTGAACTCAAGCGTCGAGCAGCTTCACGAATAGGGGTGCAAAGGTTCCTGGATCCTCCCTGGAGGAAATGTATGGCGCCGCCGTCTTCCCGAGCCCAGACCTGGCCGAGCGCTTGGCAAAGGCTGGGCGCCACGTGATCCAGCGCCCAGGCATTAGGCTGGGGGGGGGCATTTGATGCCGGACGAGGGGGTGCAAAGACTTAAAGCAGCGGCGAGTTCTGGCCGTTTGCGGAGGAAAATGGAAACTCCTTTGGTAAGCAAAAGGCAGCTGTGCCTAAGGATCCATCAGCTCATGGGAAAGTGCCTCAGACGCAACAAGGTTTCGACACTTTGAGCTGGCACTTGCATGATTTGGAAGACACCCCCGGCCCGCCCCGTATGAGGTTTATCGCTCTAAACCGGGACCTGAGAGTTGCGACCGCCAAGCGCGAGACCGCCGCAGCCTCGGCTTGCTGGCAACGGCAGCTCTCGCTAGTGGGCCCAAGCGCGCCGCAGGCGCTGCTGCAAACTCACATGGACGAAAGGGATGCCTACCGGGCCGCAGAAGGACTTACTGTGAGAAGTCCCACCCCGGAGCAGGACGGACGGACTGAGAACACCGGAAGAGATGAGGGAAGGAGTTGGGCTTGCTTGTCTCATGCCAGGATTTTCGAGACAAACACTTCACTCGGACTCTTGGTAGTTCGAGTTGAGCACTGCTCATGAGTTGGGGGGTTGGGACTCTGCATGCAAATATTCAAGCCGAGGTTGCACAAGCTGGGAGTGTTCAGGCGGCCGTGGCTTCCCTTCGGTGAATACCTAGTCTCAAAGCAGAAGGGTGGTGAGGCGTATGCCAAGCGGCTTGGCTGAGCCGCTCCAGCAAGCGCCAGTGTTCCGCCTTTGTCATTCCATGGGCCGTGTTTTGCCCAAGGCGTCGCGACAAGCCCCGTCCAAACCTCTTAGCGGCTTCTACGAGCTAACTCTTCCGGCGGGCCAGACTTCCAGGATGAAGACGCAGGTTGCCGCACAAGACGGGCGAGAGGTCCACCAGGAGGACAACACCAGCGCGACCCTAGTCGCTGCTTCGGAGCAACTAAGCGAGGCTTCACAATGTGCGGCGAAAGCTGGGCTTTGCGCTGGCTTGGTTTGTTTGTTTGGCTGCCTCGGCCTTGTTGCTTGCGCCTTGGGGTAGTTTCAGTTCAAATGCAAGCAGTCACTGGCCGTGCGTTCTTGCTTTCTTGCTTGGCCAACCTGAGCAGACCGTTTGCATCACATCGCATTGAGAAGCGCCGAACCGTAGCTTTTCAGCCCTTGGCGGTAGTGACGCCGCTGGAGGGGGCTGGAGACCCGGCAGGCTGGGCCGGGATTGGGATAGTCAAACCTGGGGTGAAGCCGGTGAAGCACTTAAGAAGCCCCCAAACGAGCCCTGGCTCCTAAAGATCCTGAAGGGAGCTTGCCTGCCTGTGGAGCTCTTCGCTCAGGCCTGCGGCTTGCAACATGCGGCTGAGAGGCTGGGGTACCGTGTGCCTTTTCGACAGTTTTCTTAGTGCGGGGCCCTTCGCTAGGGCGCTGCTTGGTGGCCAATGCCATCTTGTTCCTCAGTGCGGCGGCCAGCAATTCCACAACGAGTAGTACTTCATTTTCAACGACGGTCACTGTAACCACCACAAGTGCCACAACGTCTCTCACAACCACATCTGCCACCACATCTGCCACCACATCTGCCACCACGTCTGCCACCACATCTGCCACCACATCTGCCACCACCACGGCTACCACAGCCACATTTACCACAGCCACATCTACCACATCCGTGACCGCATCCACGACACAAACCATTGGCAGCGAATATGTAACGGGTGTGCCTTGGCTAGATTTGTTGATGTTGACAGCTGCAGGTGCTATGTATTTTGACAGCTGGGGAGAACCCCCAGCTTACACAAAACCAGCCTGCAGGTCATTCAGGCAAATGTGGGCAGCTGTGCACTGCTTCAGTCGGCCGCGGCAATTGCCGGACTCAAAGAAGGAGTTGCCACCATTGCGCAGGCCAGGGGCGGGCTGCGAAGAGATCACGTGCTGCCATTCCCCAGGTGGTTGCAGCGCAAGTGAGCCGCATGCCGGCATTCAGGTTCCTCTTTTTTGTTTTTCTCCGTGGGTGGGGACAGCCGGAGCAGTTTGCTGAGGCATGCTGGCCCGGGGCTTACGGATCGCTGCCTTTTGCCTTACTTGTCAGTTGGGGACTGCCTCTGCTGAGGATGTCAGTTGCGCTCGGCGGTTGGAGTCGGACTTTCTGCGAAGGTTGGAGGCTGCCCTGAGCTCGGACCCGTTCGGCCAACCTGAGTTTGCAAGGCCTGCCTGTGCTGAGGCTGCCACGATCAATTACGGGATTGCCGCCCTCGTGAGTGAAAATGCTTCGGACATCAAGGCTATAGCTTGTGATGTCTTGTCATACTGTGGACGGACGAAATCCTGCACCACTTTGCAACCATAGGAAACCATTGTTCGTTGGTATTTACAAGGGAATCAGGATACCCGTGTTTCTCAGGTGGTGCAGGATTTCGTCCATCCACAGTAGCTTGGCTGGCTGGTCATCTGACTCCTTGCAGATGGCCAGGCCAACATGGACTCCACGACGCCTGTGAACTGGGGGACGGCGCTGCAGACCGCCGTCCAGGCAGCGGGGGTATCTACCAGCATCGCGGCCGGGATCTCAGAGACAGGCCTCGCATAGCGATTCCATCCTGCAAGCAGACGTGAGCAGCGCCCAAAACCATTTTTTGCATTGGGGGTTTGTTTCCAGTTGCCTGGTCTCATGAGATTTCCGATGAGGCCTCGTCAACAGATGTTCCTGACCATTTCGCTCGAAACAAATGCCAATGCTCAAGTGCCGAGGTGACATCTGTCCAGGCGAACGTGGCAGTCTCGCTGCCCACCACAACATCGACAACGACGGGAGCCACAACCGCCGCGGCCACGACCACCACACTGGCAGCGACACGAGGCCAGGCGCAAGGAGAGCTTCATTTGATATTGGAAAAGAGCCGGCAGGCGGAGATGATTCGACTCTCTTGATCGTCATCGCCATAGTTCTGGGAGTGACTTGGCTACCAACTGAACCGCCAAAGCAACGATCCACTCCAACGACTACCTGTCTTCACGATTTGTCATTCATCCCAGAGCAGCTGCAAGAAGATACGTGCGCTTTCACGACAACTCTAGCAGTGCTGCTGGAGGGTCCAGATGCTATAGTGGCAGCATGCAGCAGGTTGCTGTTATTTCAGTGTTGATTTTGATGTCTACCTCGTGTCAAGCCTCGTATTGAGGTGCTTCTTTTGTGCTGTGCAGCACCGCTCGGAGGAATCATGTACCGGAACCAGGCCAGAAACATGGCAGAAGGAATCCAGCAAAGCACTTGCATCTCAAAGCGTCAGCAGCCGCAGCCTTGTGTTCGGTTGGCTGACAGAGAGCTTACCAGGTGCATGCGGAGCGGACTGACAGCGTGCGAAAGCTCGACATTGAAGCTGACGAGTGCCTGAGACGAAAATTGAGGTTTAGAGTTTAGATGCCCGGATTCAATGCGGCTTGGGCAGGTAGCGGTTGAGTGCAGGATGTATCCGGAACTGAGGTTCGAGCATTTGATGGATCAGCTGGCATCGCAGGCAAGCAACACATGATTTCAGCTGAACATCACGCAGTGACGTTTTTGTGACTTTGCCTCTCCCACCTTGACCAGGTGGACGTATTCACCAGCAAGTACCAAAGAGAAGTACAAGATCGCCAGAAGCGGGACGTTTTGCAGCGCGTCGGCGATCAGCATGAGAAGTTCTTGCAGAAGTGGGAGACCCTTCAGACGAAGAAGGGCAAGTTCCTGGATGAGGAGTACACGCCCGAGCGTTTGAGGCGGCAGCCACCTATTGACCCGCTCACTCGGCAGCTCTCGACAGCAGGGAAGCCACCGCCCACACTCAAGCAGCAGGTCTGGCCAGAGATGCCGGTCACGGCCTCCTTGACCGTCGCGCAGCACCGGAAGCGCTTGAAAGAGCTGGACAGGGACATGCAGGACCCGGGCGGGCAGACCCGCACGCCATCCGAAGTGTTGAGAAATCGGAGAGAGTTGCAGTCTTGCAGGCCCTTTAGGGTTTCTATGCAGAACACTGGATATCCATCAGAGGCACCCACATGAAGTTTGATTGTCCAGAAGTTTGTGATCAACCTGGGAGGGGCGTGGATGTTTGCCCCATGTCCACTTCGGGAAATTTGGCCGTGGCGCATATGTCTTGATAAATCACCTGATCTCTGCGTAGCTGCGCCCTCCTTTTTGATCACCGAGTAGCTGGCGGATGAGTCGGCAGGAGACTTGCGCAGAGTTCCGGCAGCTCGTGGGGCTGGCGTTCCCCGCGGGCATCCCGGAACTCCCCAACCCAGGCGCCGGATCTGAGCCAATTCCTCTCAACCGGGTCCCGGATTTCCCTTGAAAACAGTCCCGGAGTTTAAAACAGGGGGTTTCCTTGAAAACAATCAGGGGTGGATCCTGAAAGGATGCCTCTGCCTGCGTTGATCCTTTCAGCGTTAAGTTTGAAGAGGACATGCCCCTTGGCTGGTTGCGCGTGCTTTGTTGGAGGCGCGTTGGGCAGCCACGGCGAGCCACTGAACGCCAGCCTGGAGCAGGCTCTGCGAGCGCGTCAGCCCCCGCGCTTTTGCATCGGCTGGCTGCTTTGAAGTGGGGCGTGTGCAGTGTGTCCTGGAAGCATCTCTCGTTTCGCGAGCTTTGCGAGAGCCAAAGTTCGACACGAAGCATTGCAGAAGACTGGGGTCCTTATTTTGACTGTTTCCAGGGGTTAAAGTCAGAAAATGGGGTTCTCTTTAGCCCATAGGGGGTGACTTTGGTGGCAAAACACTGGGCCAGGAAGCGCAACTGGCTTCCCATTTCTGAGACACATGCTTTCCGTGGCCTCGGTGCCTCGATCACGGCGCAGGAAGCCTCGCTGTTGAAGCCCTTCACGCATCCGTTGATGTCGCAAGTGGCTGCTGGGCACTCGGAGTTGATGGCCGTGCCGATGAGCTCTGTGCAAAGTAGGGAATGCGGGAACGAATGCAACACGAGCCATTCCGAAAACTCACAATTGCCATCCATCCATTCATACGTCCATGCATCCATCCATCCATCCTTCCTTCCTTCCTTCCGTCCTTCCTTCCTTCCTTCCTTCCTTCCATCCATCCATCCTTCCATCCTTTGCATCCTTTCATCCATCCCCCCATTCGTCCATACCTTCATCCTTTATTTGTCCTTCCATTCTTTCATCCTTCCTCGCTTTTCCTTCCCCCCCCCCCCCCTCCCCCCCTTGCAGGTGAAAGCACATGGGGTGCTTGGAGCAGCGGAGGGGCAGAAGGATGTGAAGCCCTTCACGCCGATCCCAGCGGCGGCTTGCCGAATAGCGGGGACCCGTAGGGGACCGTTGCAAGGGTCCCCCTCCTGGGGCTGGCCACCGGTTTCCTCTTGTGCCCAAAGGCAAAGGGCTTGGGCCTATGTTCGACCCATCACAAGGATTAAAGGGTTCAACCCTGTAGAGAACGATTCTTTCACTTCGCGGCAAGCTGAGCCATTTCTGAATGAGATTGGCGCAGTGTACGAAGTGGACCCCCACTTCGGGACGATGTGCGTGTGTAGCCTCACCTCTCCCAGGTCGTGGTGGACCCGGCAGGGTGGAGGTACATTGGGAAGACCGGGGATGCGAAAGGCGCGGGCGGCGCTGCGGGAGCCATCTACGATTGGCCCGGCGCCAAGCGAGCCACAATCAGACCCGGGTAGATGAAGGTTAGTAAGGGACGATCTCAACCAGAAATAGGTGCGGCCGCCTTCTTAATCCTTTACATGGTTCTGGGTTTACCATTTTTGTACCAGGTTTTGATTGTGACTCCAGTGGCCGCCGATCTTGCGCCGTGCCGAGGGGCCTTGCGCCTGCTGAAACGTGTCAGAATTTCTGAGGCTTGGCATGAAGAAGACCGGCGGTAAATTCCCCGTTGAGGTCCATGCGCATTTCAACACGAGAACAGCCGCTCGGCATTCAGAGGGATCTGCTGGCTTGTTCTCCTCCTTTGCCACCTGCATGAAATCGAAGGTGATGTAGAAGCAAACGTTTGAGACACAAAGATGCTGAGACAAGAACAATCAAACACAGGGACACAACGACCGACAATATTTGTGTGAGCGTTGCGTCTAGTGTTGCTGCGACCCTGGTGCTGAGGAGGAGGAGGCGGAGACTTGGCTTGACATGCGCTTTGATGCTGGACGGTGCTTTTAGCGCGACTTTTGTATCCCGCCTTTCCAAGGAAACTCGGGCCAAATTCTTTGCATACAACGAGGGCATGCATGTCATCCATGTGGTCGGGCCGAAAGTCCGCCAGCTCATGACTGCAATCCACGACCTGTCCCGCTGCATGGCCGCAACAACTCATGGCTGTTTTTTCGGAAGTGTGCGCGTGTTTTAAAAATAGGGGCCCAAACAAAAATAGGGTGGTTTCCTTTTTGGTGTCCTTTTAAGCTGGGTACCCTCATAAACTCCCAAACAGGCGGCTTCTTTGCTCTGCAACAAGTCCTTCCCCAAGCGTTTGCACATGCCAGCACCCGCCAGGGACATATGTCAACGTTTTCGACGAGTTCTGCCAGGTCTTTGAGGGGCCAAGCACGACACGACCTACTTCCCAGGCCGGGAGAGGTAGAGGCACATGTCTCTAGTCAGCTAGGCTCCAGCAAGCTACTAGAAGGCTCAGGCTTTGCATCTTTGGCAGTGCGATTGCTTGGGGTACTGTACCAAGGTGCTGCGTTTGCTGCCCGTCTCCTCTGGAATCTTCCTGCAGAACAAGAAGCTGCTTTGCCCCAAAATACGATTTGAGGCACGAAGGAAATGCCATAGACATGGGGTGTTTGGACGGGGTCCGTTTGAGTTTGCCTTCCGTCTCAGGCTTGAAAGGTACATGCCGGAGATCACGTGGAGCTCCATTGCCCTGGCCTTCGGCATGATGCCAAGTGCGCAGCAAGACATTCTCCGTCGCTCCTCCATTGAAGTCTGCATCTTCAAGAGCACTGAGCTGAAGCTGTATCAAGAAGCGCTGAGAGCCAAGCAAGCCTTGCTTGCCGGACAGAAGCTCAAACTCACAGAGTCCATGGGCACAGTGCCAAACAATGGCGGCTTCGATTGGATTAGAACGAAGAATGGCCCAAGCGACCGCATCGAGCGGCTGGCTTGCTTCACGCGCACAGCGCATGCCCTAGCTGGGCAGGGCTATACTTTGCCCTCGGGTGCTGTGGCAGAGCTGGACATACAGCACACGGTGCAAGGCACTGAAGTTGTGTCTGCTTCCGCATTTCAGAGCGGCACTGGCAATAAGACCCTGCGGCACGACGGCCAGACAGTTATGGAGGTCGCTTTGGCTTCCCAACAGGCTGGAAAAGCCACGGTGGCTGTCAATGCAGCCTCTGCTTACCAAGTGGGTGGTGGGGTCATGAGC